GACTTTACACCATCGAGGTTGACGAGTAGCTGATACACTTCGACTGCATCACATCATAGACTGTCGAGCAAGGCTGGCGCAACCTGCGCTGATACTGGAACAGCCGCCGGTTTACTGGAGAATACAGTGAGGAAGTGCGTAGCCAAGGCGTCCGCGCTTGAAATGAGTGTCTTTCCGTCCAAGCTCTCTAAGACCGCTAGGTCACCCTCAGGTTTTAGTTGACGTTTCAAGTAGGTAAATATTCTTTTGGGTGCAGTTGTGACAGAGGATGCTAGCTCCTCTTCGAACTGCCGGCGTTTCTTGATCTTTACGGCGTTACATAAGTTACGCTGTTTCTTGTACACCGTGTAATCATCATCACAACCGGAGCTGATGTATCTATGCCAAAGTTTGCGACGCCGTCGCGCTAACTATCTATATCTCGTATCAAACCAATGCGGTTTGACAGGTCCGATTTTGGAATACTTCAGGGGAACGAACCGAGTACACAGCGAGTTAAGCTTCCCCTTCATTATTGAGTAACAAGCCTCAAGCGACGCATCCTGTGGTAGTGTCCAATCAGTCCGACTTGCGGCTTGGACGAGCCCGTTCAAGTCGGTCTTCCAATAGTTGAATGTCGACTTCATCATCATCATCATCATTACACGTTAGCTGAAGGTGGAAAACACCTCAGCTATTGTGCCGCAATACAAAATAAAAGAAAAGGAAAACAGTGACAAACAGAGGCACGCCCGCTGAGTCCCCAGTAACGGATGGACATCGTTCCGGAGAGCTAACAGCTGGCTGCCGTAAAAAGAGAATCATATTATGCCTAACAGGTGAGATCGTGATTGGAGGGGGATACTAAACAGGAGGGGGATGGGCAAAGGAAATCACAACACAAACGCCATTGGTGTCGACTTCCGTTGGTTATGATACGGTAACGACAGTTCTATGCTTGCCACAATGGAGCAGTGGTCACTGTTCGCCAGAGGTTCGAGAACTCTGATCTCGTTTGGCTTTTGCTCGCAGCTCGTAAACCTTAGGTCCATACAAGATGCCGAGTGCGGAGTTACGTGCGTCAGTTGGATAACATGTTGCGTTGCCGCGCTTTCAATAGTCATTTAGCGAATTGAGCCTCAACGTTGCCATGAGCAGGAAGTAGTCGAACGTCTGGTCAAAATATCTTAGGTAAATTTAGCTCCCCCTTCAGTAAGAAGTGAGGGCGGCTCATGCGCTTCTGTACATGTGGTAGCCAATCGCAACAACTGTTTAATGGGCTACGATAGCTAACACCCACTATTAGTTCTGCGCGTGTGAGGCGGATTCTGCACCACGATTGCTCGCACAAATTATCCTCGCTCCGATAGGTGATGGTAAGTTTGCAAGATAGTGACGATTTTCTGTACAATAATACTCCACCGTGAGCCTTTGATTTTCGGTCGCATCGGAAACAAGAGTATCCTGACGACGCGACTTCTTGGGATATGACGTCGGAGTTCAGCCAAGTCTCTGTAACTCCTAGAACGTCCGGCCGCTGCGAGACAGCGAAGCGGCACAGTTCGTCACGTTTGTTCATTAGGCTGCACACTAGATTGTCTATTAGGTATGATCGATTTGTAGTTTTTCATCGAGTCTGTGATTCTCCTAATTCTGTTGTTGATTGTGATTAGTGCTTCGCTTATTTCTTTAGTTTGATTTCAGTGGGGACGTGTGGTTCTCGTGCATGCCATGTTGGCCGCAACATTTCCCTACATTGTTCTGTCGTCGATATATTCACACGAAATTCCAGTTCGCAGTTCACTGTGAACGGTACGCTTGTAGGGTCGCGCAAAAGTGGCTACCCATGGATGTACAGTAGAACATCCCAATTTCACCGTTTTTTCCTGGATTGATCGTTCACCTTGTAAACCTTATGAAACCAGACCACTGTATATTGACCACCTCCGTTAGTTGTATGTTGACCACATGGGCCATAATAGACACTACTGATTTAACCTTTGTAAGTGGACTACGCGAAGTTTTACTTTGCAATGGTCCCCGGTCGTTTGTTCAAACAACAAGGTGTGTGTATCGGGGTTTTGAAATGTGAGAAATTCTTCTAGTCCATAACCACTGCACTTGACGATTTCGCAGACGTTGAACGATACAGCATGTTCTCTGTCTGTGTATCTGCCCACGTGCTTTTGACCCGCTCCTCGGTGTTTACACGCATCAGTATTTACCTTGCACCATGTGTCCACATGGATCCGCGTCCGCAAATGGACCTTGACCATTTTGTGTAAAATCTTTCCACGTACAAGCACGCATCAAGCCTACTTAGGAGCATGTGCCCACGCACTGCATAGGTCCAGCCGTCGATTAATCCGTTCTAAGCTAACCCGTTCAACACTTGTTCATTAGCCTCGGATCGTAGTGAAATTGACGTTTGCGTCCACTGAGCCTTAAACGCTATTCTGTGCTATTTGTTGTCTGCTTGATAGCGCAAACGATTAAGGTTTGTTTTATGTAATTGACTTTCTGTAAATAGCACACTAGATCTTGGATCCACTTCGTGCTTTGAACAATTTGGGATCGGCTGTTACACCTATCGATGCATTATGGCCCAAAGGAAGAACTTCAGAGTTTACGTTGAAGGAGGAGATTAATCTGCTACGTTTTCTGGAAAGCAGCAGCCAAAGAAAAACGGTAGAACAATTTAGTGCTATCAAGACAACCGCTTGAAACATCCAACAACATGAGTACTTGGAGAGATATCATAATGAAAGAGGAGGTCTGCAGCGGAAGGGGTGAAAAATGAAGTTACCCTGCGCTGGTCCAACAAATGAGAGCAGTTAACGCTCGAATCTCGGTACAGATGATCCAAAAAATTGCTAAAATATTTCCGCAAGAATTTGGATGTGCAGGTTTTCAAACGTCTAATGGTTGGTTGAAGAAATTTAAACTGTGATATGACATTTACCAAAGAGTTGTGTGGTGAATCCAATGAGGTTCCTGAAGAGTTTGTTCAAGAATTCACCGAAATACACCCCAAATTCAGCAAGGATTTCAGCGATCGTGACACTTTTAACATTGACAACTTCGATCTCCTTTAAAAAGTGATGCCTGGTAGGAGCCTTGTTCTAAAGGGTAACAAATGTAAGAGTAAAAAGCATTCAAAAGTACGTTTTACGGTTATGCTGTGCGCAAGCTCAAGTGGAGCAAAGCTTTGGTCATTGGTGAGTCAGCTAGACCACGTTTGTTCAAAATCCGAGTCCTGAAAACCTTCCGTTCACCTGGACATCAGACAAATCTGCTTGGATGATTACTGCCATATGTAACGAGTAGAAAAGAAAATCTGTCGAGAAATGATTAAGAAGGAACAATTTCTACTGTCAGTGGGTAATTGCCCTAGTCATATCCATGTCGATAGTCTCACGAATATTACACTATAATTTTTGCCTCCAAATATAGCCTCAAAGTTCAACCTCTGGACAAGGATTCATCAGAATATTCCAAACGCATTACCGAGCCCGTCTCATGCAGTGAGTTATAGCAGAAATGAATCCCAATGATCTGCACGCTGCAAGACCTTCATCTACTGCTTCAGTGAATCCTCTGGATGCTGTTTTGGCTAAGTTCCGTTCGGTACAAAGTTCAGCCAGAAACAATACAAAAGTACTTCAAGGGAATTGGGTTCGTTCAAACTCTCGAGCAGGACGCTGTTGTTTTAATGGACATTCCTTCTTTAATTCCAGATTTTGAGGTAATAGATTTTCAAGAGCTTGATGACTTGACAATTTGCACTGAACCAGACAGTTGCTACTTCAAAGTGGTACTGACTGCGGTACAGCCCTACGGGAACAGACATGAAGCACCAGATGATGAGGAAGAACTAAGTGAGGATGACATGGGAACCACAAGAACACCACCAGAGACTAATGTCTGGCATCCTTTCGTGCAACTGAAATCATTTGCTGTGGAACAATGTCCAAGCATGCTGAGTATCATAGCTTGTGCTGAGAGCGCTTTTTCAGTTACATGTGATAAGAGAAAGACACAAAGATTGCCTTTTTTCAAAAAATGAATTAACACGAAATGTACACTGCGTTTTGGTTTACTATAGCACTACAGTTGAACTCCATTCGCCATTAGGTGAGACCTCGTTTAATGTGTTCAAGTCGTTATGTAAAATTAAAATTTCATACCATACTACTCATAACGGGAAAGTAGGTTACGCCAATTTTGGCATGGAACCTCCGTATATTGCCCACCTCCCTGTGTTGACCACTTTGATCCAGCCCCTCGGGTGATCCACTTACGGAGGTACTACCGTAATTCCGAAAGCTACGCTTGAACAGAATGCACAGCATTGAATCCTTGTTTGGATTGTGTCGATTTTGAAAACTTGGCCAATAAAACTAAAGTCCGGTTCCCCTACGTTAATGCTTAGCCTAAACTGTGATCTGGAGTTTGCAAAGCTTCAGTGCTCCGAGTCACAAAACGACATAAAAGTTCATTATCACTGGTTTTCTGACTATGCCACTGAGGTTCACATAAACTTAACACAATCTCGTGGCGTTCCACCGTTTACCGTTTGCTACTCGAGTTGAACAGTAGGTAGTTCTGACGCGAGGTTACCACTTTCTAAAATCCCTGATTGCTTTCTTTTGAGGTGCAAGAGTACCACTGGCCACGAATCACTGCGACACGTGTTCTGACTTCTATGCTACATCTATTTGGTACACTTGGATCATAGTATATTTCTCTTATTTGTTTGCTGCACTTTTTTAATGCAGCAGATTTCGACTAACTCATACATTCACCTCTGTTCGTTAGCTTCGCCATCTTGCTTGATCTCGGTGCCCGCTAACTGCTTCATTCAAACCAGTTCTGGCTCTATCATTTGCAGCGTTACTGAAGTAGATTTTATTCAACCCAAGTATAGCTTGTGGCCTTTACCTATGTTTTACTCCAGCCAACTTTTTATTAGCCACGGTTGTCCCCAGCCAAACTCATTTCTATTTTGCTTACTTTTTTAGTATTTACACTATGCGCCCGGGAACTGGTCAGCGTCTGTACCTTGGTTCGTCTGAGCATCCCCATATTCCCGCTGATCTCCAAGTCCATGGCGATGTCTCGACGTCAGGCCACTCTGAAGATCGCGCGCGGCCTCTGGAATTTGATATTACTCGGTTGTTGCCTGCGTGGGCTATTGTAGTCCGCTCGGTATCCAACAGCGTCAACGATGTGAATCCGCTTCCCTCTGCCTATGTTTTCCACGACGTTTTTAGCAAACGGCCACATTTAGTAGGACTTCGCGCTGGTAGAGTCATGCTCGGTCTTGTCGCTGCGTCTGGAGACCCACAGCACTTGGCCAGCACTTACGTCGATGTTGGTCGTCCGCAACTCCACGATGGCACTGTTGCAGAAGAGGATCCTTTGAGCGTGGTGTCTATTAGGGCAGATTGTGTAGTACGTTGCTTCTTTCAGTTGCTCACCGACGATCGAATGGTGGGATTATACTTTTGCTTTGTGACCATTTCCTAACTTTTTGTGTATGTGTGAAGCACAGCGCTGCACGCCACCTGTGTCACTTGCACCTTCCACGTGGAGATGGCTTGCGTTGGGAATCATGTAAACGAGCTGGGTTGAAGTCTGCGGAATCATTTCGTTGCTTGCCCTGCGGCGTGGTCAGCGTGAAAGCTAACACTGACGACGTTGCTTCCGCTGCTAAGTAAACTCGCACAACTTCCACGCTGTTTCAATGAGCGGTTGATCTTGTCACCACACGAAGCGGCGCTTGCTTACCTTGAGCCCATGATGCATTTGACTACGAGAAAAAATTTCTCCTTGTCATTGATCTAAGGCGTGTAATAAACATTTGACACCTACTAAAATTCCTCAGTTGATCAAGTTATCCAGTGAACATTTACTACTCTTCTCGCTTACCTGATTATTAGGGTGATGAGATATTACACTAGCCACGCCTCCACTGCTTTATTCACTGCAAATCAACTAGCTGTCGCATCTACGCTAGGTAACATTGGGTCACATAGCGCAGCAGTAAAGCTGAATTCAAGTCATTGCCTAATGGATCACTGATTTGAAACATAAGCCACTACACTGCATGGTTTTTGGTGACGGCTAACTGTGACTACACCACTCACTCGGCATTTCTTTTGCTGTCCCGACCGCTCCCCCAGACACGCTTTCCGTAGTGTATGAGTTCCAGCAGTGCTATTGCGCCGTCGCTGATGTCGCATGTATTTCCTAATCCCCACTAGCTTCCAGCTTAAGCATATATTTTTGGTCAGATTTGTTTAAAGTGATTCTAGCTCTCCTTCAGCCCCAAACCTCCACTCCCGTATCACCCAGCGAACCGTACATATCCTGGTTATCGTGCTAGTGCTTTGTGCCAAATGTATCCCTTCTATTTTACTTTGTTTTTCTGAGGTTAAATGCCATCAAGCACATTCATTCTTTCATTCAGGAACCCGCCCTTCGTATATCTGGTCGTTTGTCTTCATATGCGTCCGAAGGAATGCGATCCACTGGCGCATACGACGCTGACAATGGCAATCCTCACTCTGGTGCATCGGGAAGTGGTCGATTTGGACCCGTGATGGATCTTAGTCTACCCCAACCACAGCGCCTAAGTTTTAAGCTTCTCCGTGCAGAATCTTCCGATACCGTCCTCGTTAGCGCCGCTGCGTCATCCGCCACCCGAAGCCCGGAATCCTTACGCTCCCTGCTGTTTCAAAAGGCCTCACGACTCGAAGCCATTGGGCATAAGGACAGACCGGCATCAGCGGTTTCGTGTCCTGTTCATCTACTATCTATGAGTTTGATTCTGTCAGACGGTAGTGTTCTCCATGCACACAGAACTCCACCTGGTCATCTACGAATTTCAGTATTCGGGACGGATCTGGTTTGGGATCCAGCCATTCCGCTGAAGCCCGCCGGAAACCCCGAGGATCGGCTTGCTCCCTATTTAAAGCAGTCCATACGAGTACGAATCAACAGTCTCGTCGTATGGCCCCCGATGTTCCGTGCCACCCATCCTGTCGTACCCTTTTCCGTCCCTCTTGGGGCAATGGATGACGTCATTGGTGCAGTGCGGTCAGGCCGACCACTCACGGACCCTGGATCTCCGCTTAGCCCCCTTAAACTACTGACCTCCAGAACTTCGGAAGTGCCAACGACACCCAGTGTTCAATCCGCTAATCAGGTATACCCTGTTTTACGTCATAGGTTCGCCCACGAGAGAAGGTGACGCGTTTCACACATTCGATACATGTTCTTGTGCTTCCCTGTTCACACTTTTCAGTCGTTTGCCCAGGGCTGCCGTCCCTTTATCCCCACTTAGATTCTAGTAACAAATTCAGGGCAATGTTTACCACGCAGGCATTTGCTGGTCGCTACGAAGTAGATTACCGCAGATATATGGGGCGACGGAGGAAGAATGAATGTGTCTCAGGGATGGAATGTCTGATGACACACAGAGCGACGTGTTCTTTCCTCCATAGCGCTGTTTGGTATGAAAGCCGGATCGAAGAGTCGGCTAACAGTACTAGATTTACTGACCTGGATCAGCAAGTGGCAGTGTGCATAGTCTTATTTAATAGTGAACACTGACCAGCCCGTATCTCTGGAAAAGTCACCGGTGCTCTCTAACTACAGAGTCTCTTGTCACTGCGTTTATCTTCGCTCTTCTCGCTCGACCCCCAATTTGACATTTCCTTACTTTCCCTATTCCCTGTTAGTTCACTCTTTATACTATTTCATGAACGTCACCGGTTTCTGCTGCCAATACTATTATTTTTCTTGCCCTACTAAATTTCGCTACTCCATTTATTTTTCCTTATCACCGACGAAGCAGTCTCGTGGAAGTTGTGCAAATAAGTCATATAACACACCTATGCTGTGACTTTTCGTACTGGCTAGTCGTTCCACTTAGTACTGGTCGCAAAAGTGACTTTTTATGCAGCACAAGCGGCCCAGCAAAACAAACAGCTGCACGGTACTCGCAATACTTAAATACCTTTTTCCAGACCACATCCATAAACACCGTCCCTGCCACATTGATATTGGCGACTATCTTGACCTTGCTTCAGTTGTGCCAATGTGCCAGGGTACCGATTAGACCATAACTAACCAACCAGTTGACTGTGTGTGTTGCGACCAGTGATAGGGTCCGATTGGTTCGCTTCTAGTTGCTCGCGTCATTCGTCTTTGCGTCGTAATCCTTCCATCCTATTTGGCCACTCCCGTCACAGTTATGGTGTGCTGAAGTGCAAGGTATCAGTAACTTCTCCACCATGCCTCAGTTATTGGGGTTCACAGTGTCCTGTCTAGAATGCCATTACTATGGATTTCGGCGACTGGATCGTTATTCTTTGGTGATAGTGACACGCCCGTTTAACTGTAGTGCAGTTTTATGAGGGAGCAGCTCCGAATCTCTCTATTTCGGTCCCAGTGATCGAAATGAAAATGGTTCACTTCAGGACAAACTGCGGCATCAATTGCGATTTCGTATCGCAAACCACAAACACGGCGGCTATTCCACGGCCCAGCAATGGACACTTAACTGATAGGAATTACATGGAAGATTTAGTAAATAGTGTTACGCCCATAATAATAATAATAGATTAAATGGACGAATCAAATTCAATTTTTCAATCTGCTGCAAGTGATCAGTGAAAGCCCATCTAAGAAGGCTATAGTAGATGAATTTGGATCATATGAGCTGAAAATCGCCACATCTAGACTCAGGAAAACGGCTTTCACACTCCGGGAAAACATTTTACGACTGTTTCATCCTTTCAGAAATCGTCAGAAATGTGTATTCCATTTGACCCCTTTGGGACCTAAACCTCGCGACTCGACTGTTGCCACTCGGTGGTCAAGACCAGTGCGTTACTGGGGTACCTTAACGACCTGCATGACTACGTTAACCGCGATTCGTTTCATCATTTTGTCCTTTGCAATCACTGGATAGAAGGGTTTTCAACTTTGATCAACTGCACGTTGTTTCGGCGGTAACTGGATGGTAAACGGCACATGGTAGATGGTCGTGGCTCTCTATAGTACAATCCACTAGATATTACAGTTTTTGATACGGGTCCCGACCGGATAGTCATTTCAGACCTCATGGCTTAAGTGTACGCTGCCAGCATTAACTCATTACTTTCACGACCTTCCATTCCTATCAGAGCTTGATGTAACATCCTGGAGGATGGATATTCTTAAATCACAAGTATTTCCATGGTTCCCACTGCACAAAATACAATTGGAGAGCAACTATCGGTTGCCACTGTCGATTACGATCAGTGAGTTAGTGTATCAAAACAGAGGCTCGTCCAGACCCACTTAGCAAGTACCAGAAGGCTTAGGTCATTGTTACTGGTCAAGAGCGACCGCCGATCTTAATTCGAAACAGCTGACGGTGACACTGAACTTGCTGACTTTGCGTGAACTGTGCCAGTCGGGAATCCATCGATCTCAAACGATTTTATCACTGGACTCTTTGTTGGTTGCATGTATGCGATCACTGAGAATGCGCGAAATGGGGATCCCATCTCTTTTAATATTATAGTATGAGGCGACTGCCCCATATGCAGTCGATTATGCAATGCTCATATTTGTAGGCGGATCAGACCAATGTTTCTCTCGACGTCTTTTTTGACAGCGATCGCACTGAAGCATAGATTATATAATTATGCGTAGGACAGCACCGACTCGCCACCCCACAGTTATAACAACCTGACTTCTTCCAACGCTCCACTCATCTTGCGCAGTACTCAGCTCACTACGTTATTATTGCTGCTGACTTACAAGGCTGAAATTTGCTCGATAACACGTGTGCAGATTCAATCATCGGGTGTCCAATCGTTTTAGCCCCCACCAGTTTAACAATCTTTCAACTAGTAGTCATAAACATCGGTTGCGACTATATCAGATCGTGTAGTTACACTGTTTTTGTGAGTTTCTGCACTGATTAACTCCAAGGTCTACTTGTCTCCCTATTCCTCCCTGTTCAGGTCGGTCCTACTGCTCGTGGTCCGGAAGCTCAGCAGCATCCAGCTGGCATGCACCCCATGGGTGATCGTGCCAGCGTCCTTATTGATCCACAATATTACCATGGTGTTCGTTTTTCTAACCACAGCAACAGTCAATCGACGACCGCAGTCACTTACATATTAATTGGAGTCGGTTTTCTCGTGCTTCTCCTGTTTGTAACCAATGGATTAGTCTTGTGGGTTGTACGGAACAAGCGCAGACAACGTGCAGGCTCATCAAGGGACTTCAGGCGGAGTGCGATAAAAGAACTCCCCATGGGAATCGGTGCATATACCGGACAGTCCGTCGATGAAAAGTCAAGCGGCGACAATCACTATTGTAACACCGGAACCACAGCCGGCACTCCCAGAACACCGCTTGTGCAGTCACACGCAGAAGAGCATCAGAGCCATCGGTATTTTTGCAGTTCCTCTCCCCGTCCTCCCGACGTTGTGCCTATGGCTGCAGGGCTCAGTTGTGGTAGCGTTGGCAGCGGGGCGAGTGGTCATATGGGTAGCGCATCTAGTGGCCCGACGGGTAGCTTGAAACAGTCAATCTTGATGGGGACCACTGCGAATCCTTACACGATTACTTCAGAGCCCTCTTTGGCTGGCGCTTTTCATTCCCAACTCACACCTCTCTCTTCCAATTTAGCATACGTTATACCAAGCTGGAACTCTGCAGCTAGGTTATGTCATTCTAGGCGAATGACGAATACTAATACCAACTCTTCCAATCAATCACCCACCTCTGTGGGCTGGCTCCCTAGCGTCTCTCAGTTGATTCCTATAGCACCTAACCCGGGATGCACCAGTGGTGTTGGATCTGTGTGCACTGCAGAAGGTTGTAGTGATGAAGGTGCTGCATCCGGCCCAGAAGTGATGGGTTTGTCTGAAGAGCTCCTACATTTAAATGGACAGCACGGCATCCCTGTCAACCGATGCGTTTCCGGTCCATTTCATCTTCATATTCCCATAGGAAATGGCCAACAAAGCGCCACGGAAGGCACAAACAGTACTGCCAGCGGCTTTTCCGGACAGTTAAATAGAACTTTTCTCCCTACTTTCAGGCACACTACTGCAAATGGAACCGGCGTTGGCAGTCTGAGCGGAGAAAGTAGTGCTGGCGAACTGAACGATTGTCTACAAGTTAACCCACAGAGTTCCATGGAACTTGTCGAACGTGATCATTTGCCAGGAGGGACACCCCGCTCCCCAGATCGCTGCTTCACACATCAGCAAACCTACCCTCTTGGCCAATATTCAGCAAACTTCAAGGGCCAGTTTACACCCATGAGAGATGCTAGTCGACGTCATGCCAGTCCGGTGCTGCATAACACCCAAATGTCGGAGAGTTTCACCATCTCTGCTTGTGGTAGACATCCGAGCTCCCTATCACAACGGCCTGTTTTTCCTAGAAACGATGTCTTCCAACGGAACCCTCCCTCACCTACTCGCCCAGTATCGAATGAATCCGGCTCGATCGATCCAGTTAGGTCCTTCGGGGTTGACAATGGACTTGATCAACGTTGTGCTTCTATACCCATCGGGTATGATCGCATTGAAGCCAACGGGGAATCTGCCTTGGATGACCTCGATTCCTCTCCCGTACCCATGCCTCCTGTCTTGCTACTTAACAGCTGTGCTGGACTCAGATCTCTTTCTCCTCCAACAAGTCCATTCAAAAGTCATGATCAATCCGCAGCATCTGTTCCGGAAAGTCGCGCGCTTGGTGGATCATACAAGCGTAGCGATAGTTTTGGAATGGCCACAAAACCCTCACTTAGCCAGTTAGCTGGGTTCTCGCCGCTAAACCGAGATATTGCTGACTCATTGTTCTGCTCTCCTACCTGTGATGGACATACAGCTGTACCTGACACAATGGTCGGTGATACCTTAGACCTGTCCGACGAGATCAGCTCTGAGTCCAAAGCCAGTTCTGCATTTAGAAAGAGTCAAAAGTTCGTCACTGTCGCAAAATCATTTCCGTGCTCTCCAAATGTTCATTCCATGGAGACCGATGATCCGACGTATCTGTACAAAATACCACCACCCGAACTGTAGGATATCCCCTCACGTGCGCTTTCAGACATGGCATGGTATTTTAAGTGCGAGAGAATTATAAATCCCTGAAAACCGATGACATTCCGTCTTCCAGCGTTTTAGCTTCGAGTTCGTATCGCTTATCTTCCACCTAAATTTCTGCCCAATAGAACTTGTCCTGATGCACCTCATAGTTAATCCCTTCCTCTACACTCATCTTTTCTCATGCGCACGAGCGCATGTTGCCCTCTACTTATCAGTTTGATAGCGGTGCTATCTTATGTACATATTACTCTTACACTTTTTTCACCTTATTTCACAGTGATGCGGTTTGAATCGCGAGCGTTCCGACCCCGTTTTTATCATCCCATTGTTTCCCAATTCAGTAGCCTATTCTCTCTTTTGGATGAAGGTATTTCTTTCATATAAATTCTTATACCAAGCTTGCATGCCTTTCTCTTCTCATTTATTGCCGTTCCGCCATCCATATGACACGCGTATTGGTAAGATTTATTTAAATAAATGAACTTTTATTCTTGACAATGCGATACACGCCTGTCAGTATGATCGGGTAAATGCATTCTTGGATCGAACGCTACTCACGGCTGGATCAGGAGCATTGAAAATCATATCATGTGATGACGTTTGGAAGAACAACAAAGGCATAATAAACGGTTGACTGAAACAAAATAATATTCGCTGGCCCTTAACCGCTCTCTCACCTACCTTATTATAAATCGGCTAACTCGCAGAGAGAATATCTTGGTGAAATCTGGACTGGGTTAGATGAAGCCTGGACTCTTAGTATGCTTGTATTGTTATTATAAAACAATCAAACACTTTGCTCGCATTATGTACATTCAAGAACTTGTTGATGCCTTTACGAAATTCGTGTTCACGGCTGCAGGCACGTATTCTGGGTGGTAGCTTGTTCCCAATTCTGACGTATCTGTTAAGAAAAGTGCTCTCAGACCTGCCGGTCCTGGACTTGCATCCTTCCACTGAGTTCTGTTCGCTTCGTGTGTTGTAGACTGCTGATTGCACCAATGTCCTTTTGAGGTTGGAAACATATATATTTCTGTGCAAAATGTTAAAGAATATGACTAGGTTGTGCTTTATGCGCCGCAGCTGTAACGGATCAAGCCTAAACTTATCGCACCGTGCGAAATATTCCAGTTTTGAAAAAGCACCTATAAGGCACTTTATTAATGCTCTCTGTTTCTTCCCATGCAATGCGGTCGCGATTTTTAATCTGACCTGCACCGTTGAACAATAATTCAGCGTTGGTTGAACCACGAAATGTAAGATTGAAATATTGATTCATCTGGGAAAAACTTCTGAAAACCAGTCCATTTGTTGTCTTGTTCTCTCGGTGGTGTAGCCTGCTTGTTCACAGAAGTGAGCAGACATATCACAATCCCAGGTCTCTTACCGTAGGACAGAGATTAAGTGGTTTATCCTCAAGACTCAGGCCGCTCTGATCCAAATCGCATTTGTGAAACATTGCGCAGTCTTTGTCAGTAGGAATAGACATTTTCCACTTTGATCACCAGGTTTCCAGCGTATGGAGGCCGAGTTGTATCATGTTGACAGACGGAAAGTGTAGACAATTTTGATGTCATCAACAAAGTGGTATGATCTGCATTTTAATACGTCGAAGATATCGTTAACATAAGTTAGGTACAGTAGCGACCCAAATATACGACCCTCTATTGCACTGCTGACGACAGATGTGGGCTCAGATTTGTGTTCCTGAACTTGTATCACCTGCGTTCGCCTTGTACGATATGACTTAAGCACACGTTAACCGATCCTGTAGGACAAATTTTTAACTGGTAGATTTTCATGTGGTCTTGTGCATGTCGAGGTAAATTGGAGTCGCCAACATACCGAGATCATCTGAGGCGGTTTAGAAATTCCAGGTGGCACGTTGCGCAATACCGATTTTATGCGAGGCCGTGTTGAGCATTGTTTGCTTTCTTGACAGTAGGAATTCGACCTTCCTAGCTTTTCTGTGTCGCTCAATCCTTTTTGATAAAATAGCTGTGTGGCTTCAAAATATAGAATTTTCTCAGCCATTTATCATGGACACCAGTCTAAGGCAAATAATTGTTTTCAGTGCTTCACCTGCGGACCTGTACAAAGCATATAAAGCTAAACTACCAAGAGGGTATAGTGATTGGTCCGGAGGTTTGTTCCTAAGTCGGTCAGTGTTTAGACGGCAAATAGTTCGCCGCTGTCTCATACACACAGATCGATTGAGCGTTACGTAATCACAATGCCTGAACTAATGTCAGGGTGACAACTGGGTTGATGGCTGTTCGGCCAAGGCAGGAGGTTGGAATATTCGGATCGCAATAGCCTCTGCAGTGACGGGCGTTTTAGCCGCGAACCTTTCATGGGAGTCTAATAAATCACGGTAGACGCATTCGAGAGGTTAAACCGGTGGCCTGATTCGAACAGGCGGGATAAACTACCGCTTATGAGAACTCGGATGCCCCCGTTCATACCTCAATTGGAGCTATGTTGCTTAATGCGACAGGACAATTGTATGTTGACCAAAGGTACACTCAAATCGATAGATTATGTAAGGAGAGGTCAGCTTCGGCAGTCTATCTTTGTTGCACACAGGAATTTGCTTATTCGTGGCTGATACACCGCAACCTGGAAAATGTTACTTATTGAATGTATACATTGTCTTGTCATGAGCTCAGCAACTGTCGCCTTTGAAACTAAGACGGATGAAGAGAGCTTTCATTTCGATTACTTCTTCAGCGTCCGATATTGTTCTGATCTGCATGTTACGCTTAATGAACCTTTGCAGGTAACCATTTTCGCGCAACGTTTTCCCGATGGACTTCATCTTATCCTCCAGAGCCTTCTCTGAGCATCTTTCTTACCCTTGAAGTGTGACAATGTACTATGTTGTGGTTGTATTTCAGCGACACAATACTACTGTACTGATTTTAGAGAGGTTTGGAAACAATCAATTATTTACAAACCTCTCTGAACTCATGACTACTCGATCGTTTCCGTATCTTCCAAAAACTCGAATACTACTGTAGTTTGTATATTGACCGATCCACATCTGTTGATCATCCTTACTAGAGAATCATCCGTTCCCCTACTCAGGTGTACATCCAGAAACGAGAGGTGATCCTCTTGTTCAAGTTCGTAAGTGAACATAATTGCCTGATGCGCGCTCTACCGCTATATCTTTTAGGCTCACCTCTATTGGTCACACAAAAGATATCGTTCATATGACGATAGTAATGGTCCAAACGATCTATACGTGAACTCAATGATTTACTTTATAGTTTAGCAAGGAAAATATCCGTTAACACTGGTCCGAGTGGAGACCCTGTTGCTACTCCATCATTCTGCCGGTAATATATGCTGTCGAAAAGAAACCGAACATTGTAGGTGCATCTCAAAAATAACTTCAGGCCTGGGTATACTTAAGTGAATGCTGTTCTCGTTCACGTGGTTACATAGGTACTCTATCGTTTCTAGCTACAGTACATTCGTGAGTAGGGAAGCTAGATCGAGGGGAGCATTTTCTTTTAGGTTTCTATCTTCGTTCTGCTCCACGAATGCAAACCAGATAGCGGAAGTGGTAATGTGGTAATGCCATCGCAATGAGGCTGGACCTTACCGTACTGCGATGGTTTGTGTACCTCAGCGATCCATTGAGCTATGCTGGGTGGTGCTTTTTTGCACCTTCAGAGCCACTCATACCAGATTGGTCAATGGTTAAAGGCCAGAGAAACTCAGCCTCCTGACGCCGAATACCACTTACAGCTTTACGGAGACCCAGAACCTGCCGCCACTGGCCAAGCTGGTGTTGGGGTTGCACTGAGTGCCAGGGCTGAATCAGCTCTGCTTGACTGGATCCCAGTCAACAGTCGGCTATGTGCAGTCAGACTACGTGGTTCATGTAACTTAAGCAGGCGTCGAGACGTTAAGCGTGCCTTGTTTGTTGTCTCCGCCTACGCCCCTACAGACTGCAGCCCGGATGCAGTTAAAGATAGCTTTTACCAGCAGGTACATGAACTTCTGCGTTCTTCCAAAAGAACTGATATAGTCATTCTTGCAGGGGACTTTAACGCACGGGTTGACCGCATTCCACCAAGCGAGCACCACCTTGGGGATAGTTTCGGTCTCGGTGGCGGTCGATCAGACAATGGAGACAGACTGCTTGCTCTTTGCTCTGATCATCGCTTGCATCTTTCGAGCACTAGTTTTCGGCATTCGAGGAGACACACTGCTACCTTGCGCCCGCCATTACAAACGCAAGAGTGATCCCAGCTTGACCAATTAGCAATCAGGTACAGATGGCGCGGAAGCGTAACGGACTGCCGATCGTACTGGTCAACTTATCTAGACTCTGGTCACGCATTGGTTCGTGCTAAGATTTGCATGCGTTTCGGAGGACCACCTAAGCGCTCTCTCTACCGTCCGGACTTCGCAAATCTACAAAACCCTGCGATTTTAACCAGGTACTAAGCCTCACTGTCAACCTTCCTTGCCTCAACTATTGATGGTGATCTCGATTCCCAGTGGGCGCATATCAAAGATGCCTTAGTTTCTGCCAGTATCGGCACTTGTGGAGTTACCCGTCACCCACCGAAACATTGGATTTCCGCCGTCTCCTTGTCGCTAATGGACAAACGCCGCTTGATCCCATCGGATTCCAGACACAGTGACGAACGCCAATCCATGGGTTGAGAGTTGCGCAGGAGTCTGCAAATGGACCACGAAGCTTGGTGGTGTGAACGTGCTAGGGAGATGGAGCTTGCTAGTCTCTCTGGTAATACCAGAAAACTTTTCCATCTCATTCGAGTCACCGAAGGTGTTCGATCTGGTATAAGTGAAACAATATGCGAAGAGGATGACACTTAAATCGCCAATCTTCAACGACTGTTGGAGCGATGGGCCGAACATTTTGGCTCGCAGTTTTGTTGGCCCCCAGCTCCATCTGCTACCTCTGGCGCTCGCGCTGGGACGGAGTTGTCTATCCCCACAGATCCTCCCTCTTACCAGGAACTCGAGCAGGACCTCCGGCGCATGAAGCGCTATAAAGCTCCCGGCCCTGATGATCTTCCTCCAGCTCTACTTACAGATGGTGGCGCTTCGCTGGTTAAAGAACTCATCGCTTTGTTCTCGAAAATTTGGTCGAAAGTGAAAGTTCCATCATCTTGGAGTGAATCGATAGTCGTCCCCATCTTCAAAAAGGGCTTGAGCACAATCTGCTCCAACTACAGAGGCATAAGCTTAGTCCCCGTCGTTTGTAAGCTGCTGTTGTCCATCATACTTCGCAGGCTATCCCCAACGCGCGAATCGTTGTAGCGAGGAGAACAAGCTGGGTTTCGTCCTGGTCGCGGCTGCGCAGGCTATTCGTCTTCGGGCAGCGCTGTCTGCGTCCCATTGCCCGTGTGTGGTGGCAG